CCAGCCAACACCGCCGTCTCCAGCCTTGGGTCCGCAGACTTTTCAGCTTCGCCCCCTCTCCTTCCCCCCCGGGGGACAGGAGCGGCGCGGGGCGGTGCCCTCGGAGGCGCCCGTACAGTTGGTTCTGGACGCTTACACGCGCGCGAGGGAACTCCTAGCTTTTTCCACAGCTAATTATAGACGAGAAAGTCTGACGACGTTTTGCAAGCGGCAGAGAGAAACTGCTGAGGTTTCTCTGCAAAGCCAAGGAAATTTAATTTGTGCCCTCCCCGTCCCCCCCCAACTGCTCCAAGCCTACCTGCACCCCAGCGAGCCCCAGGCGCGCCCTCTCCTCCCTCCCTCTCTCTCTCTTTCCCTCACTCTCTCTCTCTCTCTCTCTCTCTCTCTCTCGTCTCGGGCTATCGAGAAAGGGAACAGGCGCGGAAAATATTTTTGCAACAGTTTTCCATTCTGCGTCTCTTTCCCAAGCCGAGGGGGAGGGCGGGAGCGGATGGGAGGGGGAACAGATGCTTTTTCCGATCGCACGGTCAGGGTGTGGAAGGGACGCCCCTCCGAAGCCCCGCACCATCCTCCGGCCCAGGAATGACAAGAACCAGGAAAAGAAAAGAAAATCACTTGTTTGATTACGCGGCTCTTCGGGGCTGAAGACGGGAAAGCAAGCCAGTGTGTGACAAATCGATGCCCAGGCAAACACATAAACAAGATTCGCCGACCCCAGCCGCGTGGAAAGAACGCCAGGAAGAGGCGACTGGGGAGTTTTGGAAGGAGCCGAGAAACAAAGTTCGCAGCCCGCGCCTACCTGTCTCTAGCAGCGCCCCGGGTCTCCGCAGGCGGGACGGGGCTGAAGACGGGAAAGCAAGCCAGTGTGTGACAAATCGATGCCCAGGCAAACACATAAACAAGATTCGCCGACCCCAGCCGCGTGGAAAGAACGCCAGGAAGAGGCGACTGGGGAGTTTTGGAAGGAGCCGAGAAACAAAGTTCGCAGCCCGCGCCTACCTGTCTCTAGCAGCGCCCCGGGTCTCCGCAGGCGGGAGGCGGGA